GGCGTCGTCAGACCTCCCACAGAACATGATAGCGACTATTAATGATGACCAGCTTGGGGTGGCTTGCCCAGTCGACTACCGGGACAGCGTACTCACGGTCATCATGGCTGGTGCAAGAGTACACGGAATTCAAGACATAGCTAGATATTGCTCCCATATATTTAAATTGCGGCAATTTTTATTATTGGGAGGGCTCATATTGAAATTTTTATTGCGGCAAAACTTTGCCATCAATACAATACAGTATTGTATTTTCCGACCTCTGGTGTACAATGATGCTGTAAGGTGCTACACCTAGCTACCAAGCTTGCAGAAAGGTACAAATGCAGGTTCTAGAAGTGCAACACGCGTGTTACATGGTCACCGACCCAAATATATACCTTTACTACATGCTTTGCAGAAGTACGGAGCACCCTTTGTAAGTGCAAAGCCTCTTCCGCTGACCGCATGTAGCGAGCCGGCACTGCCTCGGCAGCAAAGAGTAATGAATAAAATGGGCATCCATTTCAATTGTGACGGGTGCGATATTTTGGAAGATGTTTTATTGGCGTCCAATTGGTGATTTTTTCGTACCATTTCTTAATTCTGACTATGTTGGCGTTTTGGCGTCCTGTGCATTTGGAACTCTCTCATAGTTAGGCACTCCACCTTAGGAATATTTGCGAGACATTGTAGATCATTTTACAACTGAGGAATGAGAGAGAATGCTAGCTTACATCAGCCGCATATTGATTGGTATTGAGGGTGTATCCAAGTCTAGGAATGAAGCGAACCAACGATTATCGCGAACCGGTAAAACTTCGAGAGCCTGATATTTATGTATTTTTGACGATTGGGTTGAAACGTTCCCAACCATCATCGAATTTGGGCCCATTTCGCGACTAAACCACTGCGCGTCATTATCGGGAGCCGAGCTGAAAAACAAACGGTTCTCTGGCTCTAGGATTTTCAAATGAAGATAAAACCCCGTCATACCAGCTTCGAATGAAATACATTTGCAGTCGAGAACCTAGAATTTGGCGTTTCATGTTCGGGTTGTTGTCGTTCATTCCAGAGGCTGCGCCATCTACAAAACTATGGCTGTGGGACAGTCATTCCACAGCCGAGATTAATTTTCAACGGACGGTCCGTCTAGCCTGAGGACAGTGTCCTCCTATTCTAACATTTCTAGTGTTTTACTAAACAGTTTTTTTGTCTTCGCCTACTGTCCTCAATTAAGACTCCTCATAGACTTGATGTTAGCATTGGCTATTGCTCATAGTTCATTCCCTATCCACAAGTAAATACGGGCTGTAGTGCGAATGAAAAAATTTCAGTTTGGCTTTTTCTACACAAGTGTGTGACTAAACCGACAGACCACAATCGTTGTGTTCACATAATGTGCGTAGATGTGCTGGATGAATAGAGCGCAATGATACCGGTTCATGTAGTTACATTCTTCAATTTGCTGCAAACAACGCAACTCCGATCGCTTCCAGTCATGAAGTTCACGGCCCTTTTCACAATTCTGACCACCGTCATTGCCGTATCTAAGCTCGGCCTCCGCGTGTGATCGACGACCCCCATAAACTCACGACTTGGAATGCCTGTATCACCGTCTTTGAAACCGGTCAGCGAACGAAGAGAGCAACTTTTACTCGAAACGCTTGATTCATGACGCTCACAAAGTGCGCCCAAGAAGAGCGAGACCACTGACCCTTCCTTTTCGACAACCATCAAGATAATGGAAGCGATCAAAGATGGATCCACTCCCAGTTAATAGTTGTCCAGAAGTCTGTCCCGAAGTTGAGTTGCCTGTGTGCGGTTCGGACTGTATCAAGTACTGCAATCCGCGCCTGTGATCACCCTGAGCGCAATATTGTCGATGATCCAAGCGGGGCCTGTTTCAGCTCGACTGTGGCTCACAAAAAATCGATTGCAGAAGTTGTGGATGCTGTAAGGTCGAGCGTAGCCGATCGAGCATTCTCACTAAATAACATCAGTGTACCTCACTGCGTACCCTCCATCTGTAGCACATCATTCTATTTTAACCCTCTGCTCAATAGTAGCTTATATTTTAACTGCAATTAGGCGCTCGCTTCGTGTAGTAGGTCTTAGCGATAAGACTACTGCTAGGGAAGCTGGCGCTTCCTGGTAAACCCAAAAGTCTATTGTGAGTCTTCTAGAGTAGAATCCCTAATGTTTATTCACTGCCAAGCACGCCCTATGCCTTGGCTGTGTTGTCCTAACCCCTAACTAGCCAGCTCGGCATCGCCTTCCTGTGCTTTGCCCTGTGTGAGTGGGTGAAGGCTTGCCATTGAACTATCCACCACTACACTTCGACATCTTGCCGAATGAGGAGACAGAAATCAATTTCCATGCTCCCGTCCGCAAGCATGTACATGTAAACCCCTTACCGAGTCAGCCCGTAGACAACAAGGGTGTTCTCTTCAAATGGTAAAACTGCTTGGGGTAGCCTTTTCCAAGCTTTCGGATTCAGCCGTAGGAACCCTGTCGAGTTTTGCATCAGCACTTACAGGTGTTTCTTTGTCTTCCACTTTTGCGAGTTTCTTCGGTGGGTCTTTAAAGATTTTGATCTTGTAGCGTACGATACCTCGGATCAATTCATCCACGAACTTAGGCAGCCATAAGGAGTCCTGGTACTAAGTAGAGGACGTCAGCTGCAGAAGACTTCGTGACTGCAAGGCCAATAAATTACCATTCACCTTTTCGATCGCTTTAAGCAGCTTTGTGTGTTCCCGAACATTTGCCCAATCCAGGGGACTCATTGCACCCTGTAAATCGAAACCAAGCACCTTTGATGATTTTCTTGATATTTTGACACGAGCGACAGTAGCGTACATCATAGTCCTGAACGTATAGATCCTTTTGGTCGGAGGCACGTAGCAGCAATATACTGGTGTCAACGTGACCAGCCCAACACGAGAGGTGTCTGCCATGAGCGCACACCGATTCAGCGTCAGTGTACAAGCTCCCCAGCTTTGAACAAACGTTACAAACTTGCAGGGGTAAACTGCCGTTCTCGTCCAAACATCTTGGACTTGCACCTGCTGAAAGTAAATAATTCACAACTGGCACTGACCCGCCTTTTGCTGCCCTAGATACATAAGAACGAAGAATAAATAAAGACAGTTAGGACCCACCTTCACCCTAAAGGTTATTGGTCGTTACCAGTGGAGAGGCGTTTGGTGAAGCTAGCGAAGGCCATTTAGGATTTGTGAGCAAAATACGCGCCAGGAAGAGCCAACAATTCACGCACATTCCACGGGTCCAGCTTACTATCCGTTGGACTGTCTCCTTCTACTTCGACCAGATACTTCACACGACTAACGTCTCCTTTCATTGATGCCCAGAAAATGTCAGAGAGAACGCACTCGACGCTCTTGCTTCCAAAATATTTCTCCATCGGAGTCAATTGCTTTCGAGTCTGCAATCGCATGACAAACCGATTAGTTGAACTGGCATTGGATATCATAATTTGGATACACCGCTTGTAATACCGTCGGAAGGATGCGGATTTGCACCGGCATACGATTGCGCTTGATCGCTTTCGCAATGCGAAGCTTCAGCTGGATCTTCGCTCTCTCACGATCCACAAGTCGTGTCTTTTTCTTCGACACTGTCTTCGTTTTGCTCGTTGCAGGCGCGTTAGTATTTGTAAGCGAAGTCTCGCCTCCTTCCAGTGCTTTCAGGCGTTCTTCCTCCTCCTTTTCCAACACAGCTTGACGTTGTTCGATACGTTCCATCTTCGTCTTCTACTCACTCACAAGTACGCATTTTAAGGCCCTGACCATGCCAAGACAAGCACAGAAACTCACCCTTCTCTTTGATGGCGACGCTGCTCTGGCAGTTTTGTCTTTCTTCTTGATTTCCTGTGAGGTTTCTAGTTCTGGAGTTGCCACACTTTCTGTCGTAGGGTGAGTAGATTCTGTAGATCCAGGCCCCTCCTCGTCTTGAGGGTCCGATGTTGGGCCTTCAGTGTATGGAGAACTGTTGCTGTCTGGACCGGATTCCCAGTATGCTTCCTGATTAAACACATTCGTAGGCGACTCGTCTCTTCCATACCCGTCCATTAGATTCCCCTGTTCATCGTAGTAGTAGCCACCAGTCTGTTCCGTCGTGAGCTGTTCCCAGTACATTTGTTGTCCCTCTTCCGGACTATAGCTCCAAGTCTCCGGCGTCTCCGTAGAATAGGCCTGCTGACTTGCGTCATACCCCTCACCAGTATTATAGTGATAGTAGTCTTGTCCTTCGTCGGCATCGTAGGTGCCAGCACTAGCATCATAGCTGTACTGGTACTGATACGGGTCATTACTACCCTGTCCGCCTTCCTGCTGCGAGCAATAATCGTCGTATCCTGTCTGCTCAAAGTTCCCCTCTCCGTCACCTTCTTGTTGCTGCTGGTAGTAATAAGTTGTGTCATAGCCATCAGGATAGCTCTCAGCTTCTACTACATTAATAAAACTGAATCATAATACATTACGTGTACATTTTAATGCTTAACCTCCTTACTCTCGCTGGCTTTCTGTGATGCATCATGTCCTCTCTCCATGGTTGCCTTGCGTCGTTTCACGATACCGATATATTTATGCCATCCACGGTACGCTTTTGTCACAAAACGCGAAATTATGACGTCTACGGTAATTGATTGTGCCCAATTTTGCAAATCATCAGTTCGCAAATTGAGGCATCATGGAGTTCTTGCGCCGACTTGGGGAGCGCCATGAGGCGCTCAAGAAGAAGATCCACGCCACGCGTATCCCGCTGTCCAAGAATGGCCAGCGCGTCATGGGACTCGTGTACTTTACAACGCCTATCATCGGCGGCTACTACGTCATGAAGTGGGCGGAACGACGCGCCGACGTCAACTTCCAGCGCGAGGTACTGTACACTGACAATTGTTATTTGAGGACATGTGATGAGTGAATTGAGCACACTGTGTGTTTTAAATACAGGAGCCTGAGATCCGCCGTGCTGCAGGCAGTAACGCTCGATACGTGGCCCAGCAGAACCAGCAACTCAAAAAGATGCTGCAGGACAAGCAGCAGTAAGGACTAAGAAATGTTTCTATTCAAGATGAGCGTTGTATTATGTCGTCCTCGAGTCTACAGAATCTGGATGCCTCCTCAGCTTATCCCTCCTGCGGTGTCACCTTGGATCCGACGCAGGCCTTGCCAGAATCCTCGACAATGTTGAGCTCGGGGTGCTCGCAGGCCGCGATTCTCAACTCGCACGGGTTGCCGTATCTGACCCTGTTCGAGCCACACACTGGCAACTCAACGTCAGGACAGACTGTAGAACATTTCTTGCTGGGAGGCTGCTCGCCAGTGGAGCTACCGGTGATCAAAACGAGGTCCTTCCAGGCGGGAGGGGTTGTTTCGTTGTGACACTTTGCGCGCTTCATGTAGCACTCGTTCGAGTACGTGTTACCCTCGCCATCGCCGACTGGGTCGTACACGTCGAGACAGTACTCAGGGCAGTCGATTTCATTCGATTCACGCCTCGGTGCAGGGCTGATGACTTGCGGGCTTTGAGCATGGACAGCGGCGACCACGAGCGTGAAAAGAAGCGCGGATTTCATGAGTGTGAAGATTGTTGAGTGTGTTGCACGCAACAAATTGAAGAATGACTTCGATCGCCGCCATCGCCACTGTGTATCTACTTGTATCTGACCAGCCATGATTAAAATTCGCGATAGGGAATTACAAATTGTCGGCAAAAGTGCAGAATTATTAATACAGGTCATGACTGAAAAGCGTCCGTGGATTCACATAATTCATGCTACTGTATCTGGATAATATTTACATGAACACATGATTTCACACTGTGGGTGTGACTCACAGCGCATTGTGCAAGCAGTCGGCGATTTCGCGGTAATGATGACGAACTCAATGGTGATGCCTCAATTCAACAAATCGACTGTACCGTAATACAGTAAGAAGATCCGCCAAACAAGTCATTTTCTCCAATCATTATGGAGGTCACAACCAGTCGAGTCTTCGTAGGAACACGGTGTTTCTCTTCAACTCCTACAAAAGAAGGGAAAACGTCAGAACGTGTATCAATTGGGCAAACGTTTGTCATAAGCGGTTACAGAACCAGTCAGAGTGATGGTCACCGGCAGGTTTGAACCGACCACACGTACTGTCACAAGTTTTGGGGATAAATAGGGCGAAACCCAGTGTTCAGCACAGAAGACTCGACCCATTTACGAGACAATCACATTCCAGCAAGTGAGAGACGCCGAGATGGCGCGAGCTGCGGCGCTGTCGAAGAGAACTGCGCCGTTGTACGCAGAGCAAGAGCGCATCTCACGCGTTGCGCATTCATCTAAAGTCGGGTATTTCAAGGCGAAGAGCAGGAAACACCGGTACATGAAGAGGCGGGCCCCAGTCCGAGATTCTAAGCGGGCTTACCGCTGTGGAGTGATGAAAACGGCGCCCCTTGGCGGGTTTGCCTCCTTCTGGAGGGGGCCATGCTACAGAGGCCCGTGTATTTCGCGTGTAGGGAAGACTGAAGCGAAGAGCCGACGTGAAGTCAAAACACTTCCTTTCATTACGGACCTAAACTCGGAGTTGAGTGACCTTCTGCATGCTCAAACAAAACAAAAAAAACACGAAATTGACTTCTTTGTTGCTCTATAGCGACTGAGGGACACTCTTTTTGAATGTGTTATGTGCTATCCGATTGCGTGCATGAACGCTTGTTGTGGCCTTTCCGATGGCAACTTGAGCAACTCTGTGAAGTTCTATTCCCGTCCTCTCCAACACTTATGATGCGCTTCGTCTTGGGGCGTCCCGGTTTCTAAAAAAAAATGCAGGTAGCCATTCGGAACTCTGGGTGATGTCTGATTCTAGCGGTATAAAGACAGCTTTAGCGTGAAATGCATTGGCATGCACCGACACTTTATAACACGGCTGAAAGTGTGTGTACACGTCCAAACGGTTGCCAACACTTTCAAGCGCCACGATTAGGTGCCATATCGACGTTTCCGATACACACGCACGGAAAACTTGCATCCATCAGAGCTACACCCAATGAGTCTGTGGACTCCACTTCGTTGCCTGACCTTGACTGCCTTTCCGAGGCTAAGAGCATAGTCTTGTACAGCATGGAGAGCGTCCGTTGCTGACTCAAATACTATGCCAACCGTCAAGCACGCTGAACCGCTTGAGTCGCTCCCCTCACTGATATCATCCACGTCGACATCCATTGTTGTCCCTCAGTCGCAATATTCGTTTATGGAAGCGCAAAGTGTGCGAGTTTGCCTTGGGGCTGTGGGAGGTAGGTCGCTGAGCGTCGCGATTTGTGGGTTTGGACCAAACCCACTGTAGCCACTTCTCGGCCAGTGATCTATAGTGCACTACACATTTTGACACACAAACCTCACTTTCATACACCTGTTGGCGTTTGTTTTGAGACTGTCACATACTGTCAATACCGATGGCAGCCCATACACCTATTGACACACGTTTCACACATACTGACAAAACGTTTCAGGATGATACACGTTCTGACGTTTTCCCACAAAAGAACGTGAAGCCGACTTTCACTTTGCGTAGACAAGTAAATGACGTCCCAACACTCGAAAGATCTGCATTTTTTGACACAGTTACAGTTCTGCTACTTTGAGAATTTCCCATACACGACCTGTAACTTACAGGTTATTGGAAACTCTCAAAGTAGCAGAACTCTCATGAGCGATAGCAGAATAGACGCGATGGAGACCAAACTGCGCGAGATGTTTGAGGTACGATCCGGTTACCGTGACGAGCACAGTCAGACAGCTTTACTCGCTAAGCACTTCCGAAACTTCGACAGGGACGGCTCTGGGGTCGTAGACTTTGACGAGTTTGCCCGTGCTATGTTGTCGCTCAACTTTGTCGGTGTCCAAGCTGAGACTGAAGCTCTCTTTGACCGATACGATGCGGACCTGGACGGTGTACTGAGCTACGCTGAGTTTGCTCAAGCCATCACGGGTTGTTCTGGGCGAGCTCTGCTGAATGGAAGAACTCGAACTCTTCTGGAACGCGTACGAGAAAGCATTCTGGAAGCTGGTGGCAAGAATGGCATCAGAACGCTGGGCGTGCTCTTACGTCGTATGGACCAGAACGGCAACGGCGTGGTAGAGCTCGAGGTCTGGTCATGCAGGGATGAACTTTGATACGGTCTCTATCTAACGACAAAGTGTTGATCCTACACAGGAATTTCGCGATGGTATCGTACAGTTGGGGATTCATGATGCCGATCCAGAGGAACTGGAGCGCACTTTCCGATGCTTCGACCGCGACCAAAGTGGAAAGATCACTATTGACGAGCTCATGCGTGGACTTCGGGTACGCTTTTTGGGTTGTATGGGGAAGTATTGGTCTAAATCCACTTGCTACTGGCTGACAGGGATCCATGTCAAAGCGCCGCATCTTGCTTGTGAAGAAGGCCTTTGCTCTCTTGGACACTTCAGGAGATGGCAAAGCTACAGTGGAAGAAGTTGAGCGTCTCTACGATGCCTCGCAGCATCCTGAAGTCCTCGCGGGTCGGATGAAGCCTCGGGACGCGATGCTGGAGATGATGAGTGTCTTCGAGCAGTCTGATTCACGCGGTGACGGTGTTATCACTTGGCACGAGTTCCTCGAGTACTACAAAGATCTGAGCGCTGGGATCATCAACGAAGACGAGTTTGAGCTCATGATACGCAACGCCTGGCATCTCAGTGGAGGTGTGGGCTGGAGTGCCAACTCATCATGTCGTCGAGTGCTAGCCACCTTTCGCGATGGATCACAAAGAGTCCTTGAGATCGAGAACGACCTGGGCATTGCCGCCTGCGATACGCGTCGTATGGTAGAAAAGCTCAAAGCTCAGGGATACAAAGACATCGTAGCGATCTCACTAACTCAGTAACAAACTGATCTTCGGATCGATCTAGACAGATACCGTCACTTGGATGACATCGGCTTATCCCGAAGAAGACACCGTGCTCGACTCGGATAGTGAGCTACAAGTAAGCGAAAGTCTCGAAGCACAGCAGAAGCGAGAGGGAAGAAATGTATTGATCTACCTCAGCTACTGGTCGAGGAAGCGTTACCACTTAAATTTCAGGCTGTATACCACATATGTACATCAGGCTATCAGCAGCTCGATACCATCGACGGAGCCATGTGCAAGCTGTACACTGTACAATAGTTTGGCAATGGACGGAGCTGCTGCTAGAGGCCGCGCCTCGCTTCTCTAGTGGCTCCATTCCAACAGAAGTGAAGGCTGCTCATCAGCGGCTTTCGTCGGAGAGCACAAGACGCTCAAGTGGCTACATAGGTATTGTCCATTGCAGTGCAGTCTCGATCGAAAGCTTGCAGCAGCTGGACACAATCACGGTCGAATGACACTTTATCTACAGCGGACTCATTACAATGTCAACCCGAGCTGTTGGTATTGTGGAGAAGCGGCCGCAAGTAATGGCCTGATTGAGTTGGTGGGGAGTTATCATTCGCATACTTCCGACGTTGTAAAGCCACTTCTCGGTGCTGCAGCAGATGGTCACGATGCAGTATTACGGGTTCTTATTGAAAGCCATCGTGCGCAGGGGGCTTCCTACGCTTTCGAAGCTCGGAAAACCTGCATTGACGATGGCCGTGCAGAGAAGCCACATTTAAGTTGTTAACGTGCTGGCACAAAAACTGTTTTCACTGATGAACTGGCAATGGCAACAACTTGTGAGTCATAAATTGTAACCTGGTACAGATCTTGCTGAAGAAAGCGAATAAGCGCGTAGGCTGTGCGTTGGTTTGTGGTGCTGCCAATGACTCTGTAGCAGTCGAGAAATTGGCGGACGGAAGTGAATTTCCCGGCATCACTTATGCCTTTGAGGTAGCCGCTGTGAGAGACATGCACACGTTGTGGAAATCTTGCGAGACCGTTGTGATGCAGACCCAGCATTCGCTTTGCCATGACATCCAGGACTCCAGATGTGGTTCACATGTTACGCAACAAGCAGTCTCGTCTCGAACGGGGGTAATGATGCTGATGTCTTAAATGATACTGTACGGTAAAAGAATAATTTACAGATATCCCATAACGATGGCTCCTCCAATAGCGGCAATCGCTACTAAGTTGGTAGCGGGGACAGCAGAGTATTCGTGCTCTTGAGCATGCATCATGGACAAATACATTGTACCAAACGCCAGTGTTAAGCTTAATGGCACCCACGGAAACGTTGCTGTATCTGACTTCTTGCCCCACTGCAGCTCTTGCTCCTCACGCTGAGCTGCTAAACTTGTCCCCACCTCTGTGTGCCATTCCTGCGAAAGATAGCGTTGTTAGCTTGTGAGGATGCTGAGATACAGCTGAAAGGTTTCTTACTCGCAGAAGAAATTCATCTCGACTTGCATCACGAAGTCTGGCGTAGAGTTCTTCTAGCAATTGAGGAAAATCCTCCTGGAATCGCTGAAAATCCTCCCGTCGAGCTGTCACATCTGCAAGATTTGTCTGGACGAACCGCATCGCGACCTGCTTCAGGTGTGCGGCGTGCACTAACTCAGCAACTACCAGAACTTCAAGGCAGTTGGCTGCCGTCACACGAATCGCGTGCTCACATAGACGCTTCAGTCGCTCCAAACCATACTTGTCTGCTGCTACCAGGTCCTCCAGGAGTTGATCACTCACGTCCGTATCGGTCTCTCCGTTCCTTTTCGACTGCGGTAGCGCCACCTGGTCGTAGTAGATGAAGCGAAGCACTCGCACAATTGCAGCGTACGAGTCTTCCACGTTCACTACTGCCATCTTTCTCTTGGTAGCTTCACTCTCTGCAAGGCGATGGAACGCCAGCACAGCTCGGAAATACTCACTTCGAGCAATGAGCATGCAGCGATGCACCGGAATGCGGCGTCCTTCGGCGATGAGCACTGTATCAGCCCATACTGCGTCACTCAGAGCGAACTTCATGTCGTCATTCAGCATGCGAGGAGACCTACGAAGCGTCTCCAGCTCGTCTTCGTCTCCTTCGCTGTTAGAATCGCTCAGCTCGTCTTTAGCGATTTCTGGCGAAGAGGCTGACGCACCGAAGAGCGACGACGGAGATGCAGAGAAGAGACGTTGACGACAAAGCAGCACAAGACTGGGAAGCTTGTAGAGCTTCGCAGCGCGTAGCACGTCGTGGACCAGGTAATACGAGCTCTTGCTCACGTCGAGAGTAAAGTTGTCCGTGTAGATAAACTCCAAAAGCAGTCGAGCCACGTCCGCTCGCAGAGCTGGAAGCAGCAACTCCATCGTCTCAGACACTGAGGTTTTATACGTATCGCTGTCACTCGCTGTGATGCGATTTTGCTGCTGTTGTTCCTCGTCCAGAATGAGTTCACGCAGCACAGGACTACGCTGAGCAAGCAGCAACTTGTGAGCCGGGAGACGCTGACCGGAGACGACTAAAACGAGGTCAGCACCTGCAATACCAGTCTTATCATCACGCGCGACGGAGTCACGATACAATTTGGTCATGGAACGCGCCAGGAAGCTGCCCGAAGTGAAGGCGATTGTCTGGTGCCCACCACAAACAACGTGCTCGACGCTGTGAGTTCCAATATCTGCAGCATTCCCGTCATCCGCTCCTGCTTCCCCATGGCTTTGACCGGAGTTGACAAGCTTGGGTAGACTGGACAGAGCGAGACCGTCGGAGTCATCCGAGTTGCCTTCTCCCCACATGTAGAGATCACCGGTGTCTGAAATGGCTGCGGCGTGTTGGGTGCCAGCACTGATCCTACAGATGCGAAAATCGGGCGAGGCAAAGCAAGGGATCATCTGGGGCGTCATCCACTTCAGCTGCGGTAGTCTAGGACACGATAAAGACGCTGTTGTAGACTTTTTGCGCTGCGAAAGAAGCCGTTGGTGCCGTTGAAGGATCATCTCAGCTAGAAGAGCATTCTTCTGGCTGCCGTACAAGCCGTGGCCGAGCACTGAGCCTCCGCACGCCCCCCAAGTCCACACTCGACCATCGAAAGAAAGCGCCATACTCCAGTTCTCACCCGCCGCTACATCTCGCCACTGTTTGTGCGCACTCTCTTTCAGCACTGCTGTAGGATGGAGAGCGTCGCTGGCATCACCTCGACCCTGTTGACCGCTGTTGCCTCTCCCCCAAGTGACAAGCGCTCCATTTCTTGTGAGACCGACACAGTGGGCGTCTCCACAAGCGATTTTCGAGAACAACGGCGCCTCATGCTGCGAAGGCTTCACTTGAGTGACGTAAATACTCTGAATCTGCCTCGGAGTCAGCTGGAAAGACTGGAACTGCTTTCGTACAGCTCCGCCTCCATGTCGTCGAGACGTCCGAGCGATGATTGGAATCCGTCCGAGTCCCAGACGTCCGTCGCCCCATTTCCCCCACGAGAAAGCGTGGCCTTCACGTGTTTGAGCGACACAAAACCCACTGCCGCATGAAACTGATCCGACGGTCGTTGTCGCTTCAGCTCCGTTTGCAGTTGTCTCCACTGGGGGCAACGCTATCCGCTGAGGTGTGGACGCACTCCTGAGCGTCCCTCTCCCCAGTGCAATCCCCACTCCCCACGTGTACAGCTCTCCATCTTGACTGACAGCTGCAGAATGTGCTCCAGCTAGTTGGTCCCCACCGCAAGAGATGTCTCGCACAACAATTAAATTGTCGAAGAAGAAGTCCACCAGCGTAGGCTGGCCTACGTAGCCGCTCAAGTCATGGCCGAGTCCCAAAGCACCGTCCAAAGAGTGTCCGTAAGCAAATACCAGCCCCATATCGTTGAGGAAGAGCGTGTGGTACCGACTACAAGCGGCCTTGACAATTTGATTCCTCGGAAATGGCTACATCAATCATGAAACGGAGATAAGAACACCAAAGACTCAAAGCTGACTGGAGTTTGCAGGAGCGTACCGTTTCAATATCAATCTTTCGGAAGGTGCTCGATCTGTTCACTGGCTGTGCGCTGTTTTGGTTGTCCAGGATGGGGTTTTCGTCGTGGGAGCCCCAGAGCGACACACTGAGCATATCTGGCAGCTCCAGTGAGTCTAAAGGCTTTACACTGGTATTTGCACTTGTCTGGTCTTCAGAATCCTCCCTCACAGTGCTACTTGGCTCTTCAGAATCGGTTCTTTCACCCTCTGGGACGAACAATGCAAGCTCAACTGCTATAGATGATTGAAGCGCGGCGTCTTCGCCCTGTAGGTAGCTTGTCTTAGGAAGAAATAGCAGACAGCGTGTGCACGAGGACAGCCCAGGGTCGGTTAAGCCGTTGGGATTCTGTCGACTGGAGTCGTCTGCATCAACTCGTGCTCGAAGATGAGAAGTCACGTCCAGTCTTAGCTGTAGCCCCCACTGGTTGTCGTGTTTGGCTTCTTGGACGAAAACCTGCACAGCTATCAGCGTGGAAAGCAAAACTACAGAGCACAATCTGCTGAAACCGTACCTCGCATACACGATCGTTCTGGACCCAGTAAACGGACCCCCGTTGATACGGGAACTGGCTGCTGATGGCCCCGAGGAGTCGTCGCTGTTGCTCTTCTAGCAGCATAAACGCCAGCTGGGCAGCTCTGTCCGCGTGTTCTACCGGTACAATATGGTCGCAAGCAACAATTTGCCGCCTCAATCGCGAGACGAAATAGCTGTATGATACATTTGACTCCGAGGATGTCACCCCAAAGTCTCCATCAGCAGTCGCAGGAACCAGCGACGGGAATACGAACGACGTGTCTCGGGTGCAACTGGCGAATCGAACCGATAAATCCTCACCCAAGCCACTCAATAAGCTTCGGATGTCCACGACAGAGGCCGGAATCTCAATTTTCCCTCCACCGGCGGCTCGAAACACCTCCCTGATAGACTATATCATAGACATTAGCTCTAAAAAATCACTACGACGTAATGCGAATTACCTACCTCGAAGTACAGCTCTGGTGTCACTTGTTCGATTGGTGCATCCTCGACGCAATCTTTGAACTCGTAGTTACTTTCCTCAGTAGTTATATCCTGAAGTATGGGTTGCTCTGCTACATTAGAAGCAGCGGCGCACATGCGTTGGAGAATTTTGTCCAGATGGTGCGTGGATTTGATCATCTCCTCCAGCATCTCGGCGGCGCGGGTCTCCCTTCCATGCTCCGCCATCTTCAAACTGCGTCTTTTGACAACATTAGTACCGAACCTACCGGAATTCGAATTGACAGGTTACCGGTAGAGAAGATTTGATACCGGTGGTAATCTGAGGTACTTGTATGCAGTACGAAAGGAGAGGTATTATACAGGTAATATCCAGTATACCGGTTGTCTGGCATTTTCCTGCGAGCCAATTTTTAATTTCTCTTAAGTTATAATAAAGACGACAAATATATATTCTATCTGATAGAAAACCGGTGTACTTACTGGTCCACTTCAAGCGGCGAGCATGGCGGCGGCTCTGCGTCTGCGCCTGCTCGAGCCCAGTGTGGGCGTAGTGTCTGGCGGTACGCGCATCGTGCTACATGGCGCGGGCTTCCGTCCTCCTCCACATTCGCTCACCGTCCGACTGCGCGTGGATTTGCAGGATGCGGATAACGACAACCACTCGGACACTTGTGACCCGCTCTCGTGGACAACTCGTCAGCCCATTTCTAATACAGTAGACATCAATGGACGTTTCCTGCTCGATACTCAGCTTGAATGCGTCCTCCCGAGCTTTGAACGCCAAGCCGCGCGTGCCATTGCAGCCCGCACGTGTCTTGCTGCGTCCTCCGCGTCGGTCTCCAGCGCGCCGCAATTGGTCCCTTTGAGCGTTGAGGTAATACTTAACGGAGGTGAGCAGCGGTCGAACACGTTATCATTCAAGTTGCACCAACCGCTGGAAGTGCGACGCATATGTCCTCAAAGTGTCCTTATGGTGTCCCCCGCAGTCACCGCCACGGTGACGTTAAATATCTTGAAATTATCTGCTCCTGTCGTCCATAAAGCGACACCAAAAGGTGGACACTTGGAGGTTCTGGAAGATTTGAGCACTCTCCCAGTCTTCGTTCGCGTCAAGCAAGCGTCGGAACGCACTGGAGCCGTGTCCGAGCAGACGAGAGAAGGCAAGTGGAAGCTCTCGCCATTGGGAGTCTACGAGGTGGAGTTCGACGCTCCGACAATGGGCTTTGGAGCGGTCAGTGTGGAGCTATCACTCAATAGAGTGGAGTTTTTCCGGTGTAAGAGCGACGCACCGCCCGAAGGCTTCGGCTATCGAGTCCTTCGAGATGTGACCTTACGCGCAGTGGAGCCTGCGTGTATTAGTGTGACGAGTGGACAGATCACGGAGATTAAAGTGGTGGGGGACGGATTTGTGGATACGGGGGATCTTGTAGTGGCAATGCTGCAGAAGGAGTTGCCGTCAGCAGAAGGAGACGGAGTGAAGCCAGCGAAGGACGTGCAGGTGGCGGTGCTGAACGCGACGTACTTTGGCAAGACCGAAGTGCGATGTACAGTACCAGCCAACTTGCCGTTTGGATGCACGACGTTCAGTGTCTCGTTGAATGGCGGTAGGCAGTTCGGTCAGTCTCGAGTTGTTGGCCTGCTGCATCGAGATCGAGCGTTGGAAGGAATTTCTCCAGCGAGCAGCAGTCTGGCCGGTGGAACTACAGTCACGATTCGGCATTCCTGTCTCTGTCTGGAACATGTGGACGCGCTTTACCAGCTGCAAAGACTTGAACCACCTCGAAGAATTCGAGTTCGCTTTCAACCGGTTAGCTACAGTGGTTCAGAGAGTGGTGGTGGCCTCGCGAAGGTTGCGAACGCAGAAGCTTTCTCCCAGACGCCAGGGTTGTTGATCTGTAAGACCCCAAATTTTCTGGAGAACATTAAAGCTTTGAATGGCATGCGAGCAGCTGGAGCAAGCGAGAGTGACGGGGATAATGTGCCGTACATGTGGAGATTTACAGTAGCTGTAGCGGTGGGCGGAGAGGCTTTCCATGGCGAACTGCCATTCTCCCTTTACCTGCCTCCTGTGATACGATCGCTCACGCAGCACCATGGACCGTCGACAGGGGATACAAGCCTCAAGCTTCGGATGAAGCACAAAGTTCCACCGCGGATAAAGCTGCTCGTACGCTTCTCTACGCTTGATTTCACCAAAAGCAAGACGATAGAAGGGCATCCTGTAGCGACTTCAACTCCCGATTCAAGCAACGACGTGACATTTACGGGCTCCCCGTCGATCGTACCTCGTCAAAATGGCGATGAAGATCCTGAATATTTAATTTCCTGTAAGTCGCCGCAGTGGATTGAGACCTTAGCGGGCTCTACACGTGAAGTGCCGCATTTGACGATCGTCCAAGTCTCCTACGACGCCGGAGTGACGTTCTTTCCCGTCATTGATACTCCTCCGACAGCTGTACAGTCCAATCCGTTGGCCAAGGACCTGTCGTACTTGTGTTTCCTCTTCTACCCACCTCCAGTTGTGCGCTCTGCGGTGCCTCTGTCAGTAGATATACTCGGCGGGAGCTACGTTCGACTCCAAGGAGAGCACCTTGTGGATCATGGAGCTCAGATGTCCGTGATATTTGAGTCGTCTGCGCTGAGTCGAAAGGTGTCAGCATTCGTTGAGAAAGGAGAGCTGCGATGCTGTGCGCCGCCATTCAACGTGGGGCGTGCGCGAGTGTTTGTGTCCCTGAATGACGAGCAGTACACGCTGTGCGACCTTCACGACCAGGAGACGAATGCGCCAGTAGAATTCATTTTCTACAGCTCGCCCACCGTGACGCGTATCAGCCCACTCTGTGCGTGTGTGCGTCTGTCAAGTGAACTCAAGATCTACGGTACGAATCTCATCGAGACGGACCGCATCAAAGTGCGTGTTAGCTTTCCAGCGAGTTCTGGTCGTCGTCCACTTTTTAAGGACGTCCCGGGTACTGCGCGTGATGGGGTAATTACCGCAACTACGCCCGTATTTCCTGATGAATACGCTAACCAGAATGCGCTCGTCGACGTCGCGTTGAATGGGGCGAATTTATCTGGGACATCCGTTCCTCTGCGGTATTTTTCAAACTACGGGATCACGCGTGTGGACCCCCCACTCGGCGCGTTTGAAGTTCCTGTGACTTTAACTGTATTCATTGCACCTGCAATCGTCACGGACAAGATACTGGTGCGCTTACGTCTCGGAGTTATCGAGGCGGTGGCGGGAGAACATGAGTCCTCTAAAGAGGAGTCGGAGGTTGTTCACGGTCTGATCGATGCAAGTAGTTGGACGGCGTCCAGCGTGGAGCTTATGGCTCCGTCTTTGAGTACACTCGTGGAGAGCTTATCAGCTTTGACTACAGCACACTTGGAAGTGTCATTTGATGGCGTACGTTTCCATGGCGTCGGAAACCTGCGAGACCACTACCGTGTGTACAACGTGCCCCAGTTAACATCAGCGAATCCGCTATTCGGACTGTCCGATCGAGAGACAAGAATTGTGGCGCATGGAGTGCACATGAGACCAGACGATGTCGTCAAGCTGACGTTGTTTCTGGAATCGACTGGTGCTGACCGATCCAAAGGTAAAGACAGACGCGTGGCTGCTAGAACAGCTCCGGTACCAGTTACTACCGTCGTGGCAGAGATAAATGTCAAGCGACAGCGGTTGAGCTTTACGTGTCCATCGCTAGCTCAGCTCCGCGCTAGTCCAGATCGGCAACACGCTCCTATCGTTGCTCCCTCGCCGGGGATAACAAATGGAGTGCCAGATCGTCGTAGTCAAGGGGGTGTCGATGGTGGGATGCTGCTGTCTGAGCGAGTTATCATGCAGATTAGCGTCATCGACGGACAACCGATATCTCTTCCTTTCGTGTTCCGATACTACCGATCCCCCACACTCGTAGCAATGAACCCGCGTGTGGGATACGTCTGCAGTGGGTCCATAGTCTCGTTTGAGTTTGCAGAACGGATCGCTACGCCGACTGTGGACTTTCGATTTGGCGATAGTCTGCCCACAAGTGGCCGAATTCGAGACGAACGCTTTGTTGAGTGTTTCTCCCCCGAGCTGTCAGCAGGAACTCACAGTGTCAGCATCTCGTTTAATGAGCAACACTACGAACCCGCTGTGCTGAAGGAGCATAAAGGGGAGCCAACCGAAGAGAACGAGCTCTCAGCTGCTACATTCCACGCGTTTCCGCTTCCAGTGTTCGTTCTTCCTCCTGCTGGGAGAGACCGAGTGTACGCGTTTGGTCCGACATCCGGTGGGACTGTGGTCGTCATTAAAGGTAAGGGGTTTGTTCCCGACACGAAGATCTACGCTCGATTCGCGTCTCAATTCAAGGATGCTTTCGACGGGCAGTCTGAGATTATTGTGGGGGCAAAAGTGGTGGACGACGAGACTATCAGATGCATCTCTCCACCTTCCATGCGCTTGGGTCGCGCAGTCCTCCACGTGTCGTATAATCTGCAGCAGTTCAGTGATTCCACGTGCTACTTCGAGTATCACGCACCCACGCGATACGTAGCGAGAGGAACACTTTGTGGACCCATTTCAGGCCACACGCCATTGGAACTGGCAGTAGAAGACGTGAAAGGTCTGCCGAGTCACACGCAACTGCTTCAGTGTGTCGTACGCTTTGAAAGTGAGAAAAGTCACACTGCAGTGGATGTCGAAGCCCAGTTTGATGCGGAGATGTGTGTTTTGTCGTGTACTTCGCCTGCGTGGCCGTCCAATGAGCTGGTCAACCTTCGCGTCTCGCTCTCACGTGGAGACGGTGAGCTGTTCGAAGACACGCGCATCAAGTTTTTGTTCTACGATCCACCTGAGGGAGTGATCAAGATCGAACCTGCCGCTGGACCAATCGGAGGCGGAACGGAAGTCTTAGCGTGGTGTGGAAGTATAGTGGAGACAGGAGAGATCACAGTCTCGATCCAACTGAGCAGAAGTGAACTCGAGCGACCAAGGCTGACGAAACGCAGAAGCTCAACTTCCGTAGCGCCGCCTCTGTCTCGGAAGTCAAGTCTACGGTGCAACCAGACGCTCCCTCCGCTACTCGTGAAAGGAGAGATTGTTGGAGAGTCTATTCGGTTTATTGCGCCTCCTGTTGATGGCCCTTGTACGGCAGTTTTAGGCATATCATTGAACGGTATCAGCTACACGTCGACGCAGAGCCCGCTACACTTCACGTACTACGTGGAGCCTACTCTTCGTCGGATCAGTCCGGGTTGGGCTGCTCTGGAAGGAGCGAGCGACGCGCTTGTCATCGAAGGCGAACATATACGCGATTTTGGCTGCAACCTATTGGTGCGCTTCAGTCTTCAAGATGAAATGCAGCCGGAGCAGAATGGCATCGTTGTCGGTGCGCAATTTATATCCAACTCCACGGCATCTGCCTCGGGTGACGGAGCTCTTCGGTGTGGGTTTCCCGCAGCGCCTCCGGGCTTCTACGAGCATGAAATCAGTCTGAACGGACAGCAGTTTTCGCAATCTCAGTACGTGAGCAAAACGTTTGGCAATTTGAGTGGCACCGCTTGCACTGCGCTGCTTCCTTTTCGACACTTCTCATCGCCATTCTGTCTGGCGACAGCTACTGGCCCAGCTGCGGGTGGGTCGAGTGTGGTGCTGTTTCTCGGTGGGAAGCTGTTGAAGGTATTATCAAGAGAAACGAAATGTCAAGTGCAATTTACGCCTATCAAAGGAACAGAGAAGATCACTCGCTTACCTCTCACAACCCCAAATGGGGGCGCTAGTCCTATCAAGCTATCAAGTAATGTTGCAGACATCATGTGTATGCTTGGAGACATCGATCACGTTAATGCTCGAGTCACCTGTCGTGCCCCATTGCTGCGTGTTGCCTGTGTGTCTAATGTGGACATCCTGCTGCCGAGTGGTAGTGGAGCGTCCTCAGCATGTCAGCTATTCGCCATACGCCCAAGTGATCGTGAGAAGTATTACTCCTACGAATCGCCAAGTATTACTGAAATCGCCCCCAGTTGTGGCCCTGTATCGGGAGGCACACAGCTCGTCATTGAAGGCGCACATATCCTCGACACGGCCCAGATCTTCGTCCGGTTCCGCTCCAGTTTAAACGAACGCGAGTGTGTTCTCGTACCTGCGCGATACAGTCGGACGTTCCCTGGCGGTTCAGCTAGTGCGTCTCCGCTTATCATTTGCAACACTCCACCCGTCGAGTTTATGGATAAAACAATATCTTCTGGTAACGATTCAGCAGCTCAGAGCACTTCACTGTTGCCGCAGCCTTCACCTCGCAATAGAGAAGGTGTCGCAGCCGGGAAGGCACGTACCCAGACGTACCAAATGCTTGCGGAGCAGAGTTTAAAGGCCCATCGAGCCTCCGCTGCCCATGGGAACAGCGACAGTGGACTTGGTGCTCTACGAATCACTCGACCGAGCGTCAGAGCTACACCTCGAGGTCATTCTGACGCTGAGAGTGGAGCGACCGTTCTGGTTGACTTTACGCTAAACGCAGGCGAGCAGTTCATCGCACACAGTGTCCGCTTTCATTACTACCAAGATATCGAGCCTCGTCAGGTCAAATGGTCCCCAAGACACCTACCGACTCAGTGTCTTGGAGGGCGTCAAGCAACGGATTCACGAATGCTTACAGTCGTGTTACCCAAGACTTTCAGACTGACAGATTCACCAGAACGGGTATGCTTCCGCTTCGACGGTGCCAACCCGCAGGTCTCCATGCGGCGGAAGTCTTCTGTATTGCTGCACGAAACGGAGTCGCGCACGGAGCTGGTCATTGCGAATCCTTCCAAGAGACAATCAACGATGCGCAGATCGATCACGTACTTCCAGAACAGTATTCTATCATCTGATAACATTCCAACCAGTCCGCCAGTGTCCACACGGAGTGACAGCATCGGGACAGCGGTATCTTCACGTCGGCAAGCTGTTGGTGCGCCTGGGATGAAGAGAAGACCGGTCACACCCGAGTTATCATCTCCCCGTCCCTCTACGACTGGATCGTCGCCATGTATTGCTGGGAAAGTCATCAGTGCGAGCGAAGTCACTTGTGTCGTACCGGACTTCTCTACCCCAGGGGCTGTTTACATTTTCTTCTCTCCAAACGCTCAGCAGTTCGTGTGTCTTGGCGAGTTGCTGTTCCACCCCGCTATGATCATCAAGGATGAGCATCATCACACCACGTTTCGATTCTGCTCGAACGTTGGCGGAAGTCCATTCGCATTGCAGTGTTCCCCGTCGACTGTACTGAGATTTCTAGCGCCAGAAGACGTGACGACAGCAGCCAAACGAAACGCTCAAATCCGAGAGCTTGCACTGAGGAAGAACAGTGTCGCGTTAGGAGAAGCGCGGTCGAGGATGCCACCGCGATCGTGTGAGCAGAAGAAAGACGAGGTGGCCACAGCAACCAACAGCGATGATCAAACAGAGGGGGCCTCGCATTCTGTCCTAGAAGTGTTCGGCCAAAGAGATGAAGCCGACGTTGTTGAGCTCGATTACGAAGGTCAAGACGGCGCTGCTTGTGAGGAAATAAAGGAGCCATTCGGAGGATGGCAGAAGCGCTCGTTTCACTCGGCTCGAGTGTTTCTGATACCTGCGAACGCAAAGCTGCTGAAGCGTGTGACGGTGACGGCGACTCGTGTGGATAACCAGAGTGAGGCTGGTAAAATGGGACCAGATGGCGCAGGGTGCTGCGTGTTTGACATGTCAAACTGGGGCGAGCAAGTTCTGCTTAGTGCTGCTTTGCCATCGTCCTGTGGTTATGCCTCCTACTCCTCGGTTGTTGCGCTATCAACACTTCGTACCAACCCATCGACAACGCACCTGGTGTTGACTCAATTACCTGCTGCGAGGAAGCAGCATGTCGCTGTTATTGGGCCGAGTTCAGCTCAGTTGAATGTGGCGATTATCGATGGCAGTGGGAAGGAAATCACAGCGATTGCTACGTCACATGAGCCCGAAGAGCACGAGAACTGCAGAAGTGTTTTAACTGAAGTGGATCCAAGTGTCATCATTGATTCAGCCTGCGAAGTCTGCTACGTGTGCGTTCGGTTTGGAGCTATCGGCTGCGAAACCCTCGGCACTTTTGATCAAGAAGAAGCCAACGTCCAAGTGCTTGTGTCGGACAGCAACGGAGTGCAGCTGTGTCTGTGTGGTCCGCCAGTGGAGTCCTCGATATGGATCGTTGGTCAGCTGGCACTACATGACGTGGATTCACCTACCGCCTCTACACTTCCAGTCCAAGCTGTTGACAAACTAGTTCAAGAGAACTCATCACTCTCGTCGGCACTGAGGGATACCCTGACAAGATTCGCTTTGTCTCCCAAGAGGGCTAGCACCGTGAGCTCTCAAACCTACACCGTCCCGATCACGTTCGATTTTACTAGCGCCGACTCGTCTCGAAGCATCTCCGCTTCATCCCGCGCAAGATTGGTGCTCTCAGGCTTCGACACTTTCCAGACTTCGTTAGCGATTTCGCTCTCTCCACAGGTTGCAAACGGACCGACCGTCACTCTGGAATGTGCAATGCCCTCGCTATCCTTTAGTGGCATTGCTACGCTTGTGATAAGCTGCGGAGGTGTCGTATTCTCCAACAGTGTGACGGTGCACTGTTACGATCCAAGGAGCTGGAAGGTGACTGCGCTACGTCCTCCATGTGGACAGCTTCTTTCTCTCGACGACCCCAAAAAGCCACCGGAACCCATGACACTTCGCTTAAAAGGCGAACACTTTGTCGAGAACCGCAAGATCACGATTCGGGTGTCTGACAAGGACAGATATTTCACAGCTGCAGGCAAAGTCGACCAAGTTCACGTGCTGAGCTTACGGATCGCTGCAGTTAAGAACCTGCGCGTATTACTTCATCCCCTTGGCATTGTGCCACACGCTTCCAAAACGGCGAATGAAACCTCGTCATCGCAGCGGAAAGAAGACAAGTATCTCAGCTCCATCGTTGGCGGCACCACAAGTGGTGGGTCGATTGTCGCTCTCGTCTCGTCGTGGTCCACTTTCACCTTCACAATTCGGATCGAATGTGGCGACCAACGACACTTCGCTTCATGTAGAGAGAATAGCGTCTTCGCAGCGATCTCTTCGGGCTCTGTTTTGAGCTGGGAGGAGGAATTCGAGCTTCGAGTTGCTGCTGACCGACATGCTCCACTGTTGTTAACTGCTGAGCTTTCGGAGCCTTCTTTGCCGAAGCCGCTGGAGCTCGCCCAGGCTTGGATTCCTCTCAATGGGATTCAAGTAGGATCCTCGGACATTCGACGCTACACTGCACGATTCGAAGAGCATTTAAAGCGCGGAAATTATGTTGGCAGCGACGCAACTCCTGGAGTAGCAACTGAAGTGGAGCTGCTTCTTCAACTTTCGCCATTGATGCTGCATCCGGACTATATCGTGTCTCAAATTCCGTATTCCTTGCTGCAGCAGCTATCACCTCAAGCTCTGGACGTTCAAGTCTCGTCAGGCGATGGGTTTTACTCCACGCCTCACTCTTTCTTGGTGTACAACCCTCCAACTGTGACGCACACTACACCCAGCGTGCTACCGCGATCAGCAGGGGGCGACGTGGTTGTTACTGGCTCAGGCTTCGTCAACAGTGGTCGGGTCTGTGTGCGTTTGTTCGCATTCAAGAAGAACCGCTTCACGAACAGCAACGAGGAACAGCGCGCTCTTGCAACAATCAACCGAGTCAAGCGAGCAGAGAGTACGAACGACGGCTTCTTTCCCTATTTCTCGCGAGACGTGGCCGGGACGTTCATTTCCACGACAAGTCTCAAGTTCCGAATGCCGTCGTACTTGACGAGCTACAACGTTTACTACTCCGTGTCGTTTGACGGACGATCCTTCACAGAGGCCTCAAGCGTATCGAATGTGCTGCTATTCAGTATCAACGCGGTGACTCCTAAAGGCGGCCCCATATCGGGCAATACGTACGCAACCTTGCACGGCACAAACATCGACGCGTGTCTCTCTTCACGATCCGGTTTATCGCCTCTTGTGCGAGTCACGTGGAAGCGCGGCGCTCGAGATCTCGAACATGTGATGGTGCCGGGAGAGTTTTATCCCCACGAAGATGCTGTGTACTTCTATTCGCCACAGAGCAAGTTTGGACTCTACAGTATTGCTGTTAGTGTTGAGTTAGCACTGCTTAGCTCAGGGACTACGGCAGTGGACACGGTCCCGCGCTTTGGACGAGATGAAGTCTCGTTTGTCATGTACAAGACGCCCACAATCAAGTCCGTCGCCCCGCTCTCCGCTCTCGTGTCCGGACTCTCAACGACGGAGATTATTGTCCAGGGATTCGACGAGAAAGCAGTCAGCAACATGCGGCTGGCGCCTAAACTACGCTTCAAACGCAGAGGGCAGATGCAAGTGTCGGACGCTCAACTTGTGTCCGAGTCGCGCTTTGAGTGCATCGTGCCGCGTTTCAACGTGGCCAACGCGGTCGCCACAGAGCTCCCGTTGTCTGCGCTGTCAAGTGTCCGTCCCATCCAGAGACCTCGAGCAGGAGGCGCATGGAGTCCAAGACGCGTTACCAGTCAACCTAAACTGTGGACACGTGCAGCGGGGATTTTTGTCGCTCTGCTTGGTGCGCGTAATTTACGTGCATCCAAGAAGAATGCGTGCAACCCGTTCGCGGTCATTTATGTGGGTAAGATGCAGCTCAAGAGCACGCGAAAGGACGGAGTCTTCTCGCCCGTGTGGAATGAATTGTTCGACTTCGAGTGGACATCTGACAGCGAGTTCAACTTGCCCTCCGTTCGTGTGGTGTTTGAGAATCAATTGACGGCCGACCAGAGTGAAAGTCTGGGGCACGTGGAGCTCCAATTCCCCGTAAAAGACAAGCAAACGCAGCCGTTCGTGCTCCGTGCGTGGCTCCCACTGCGTCGTATCCGTGGGAAATATTATCGCAAGGAAAACGAGGAAACAGCAGTGCATAGCCAGAAAAACCTAAAGAAACAACCTCAAGCTCCGGCTTCAAGCTTAGGTGAAGTGGAGCTGGCGATCGCTTTCGTCCCTCCTGTGGCCCAGACCAAGAAACACAAGAAGGCGCTGCGCTCGTCGATCATCTCTGTCCTTACGACTCAGCCCCAATCCAGGAAGCAGTCTCAAGGGAAAGCAGGATCAAGTCTCTACTCGGCGAAGAAGGAGAAGCTGCTTCGTGCTTTCCGCCAACGTGGAGCTCCGGTATCGCTGGTGCCGACCGAACTGGCACTTGAGTTAGCTCTCAACGGTCAAGATTTCTGGTCGGTGGCTCCATCGACATGTTACTCTGTCCTGACTCCGATTGTGGTTGAGGTGGAGCCCAAGTTCATTTCCATCGCTGGCGGCTCGACGTTGTATCTGTCGGGGAGTAATTTCGTCAATACTGGCTGCTTACGCGTGGCTTTCGCAGTGTTGACAAAGGATGACACCACTCAGACTCTCCGTAGTGACCGTACTATTGTCGTGGAGGCCAAGTACCGTTCGAGTACGAGTCTGGTTTGTACGACGCCGCCACTGCTGAACGTGGCCACTGAAGCCTCTTACCTGAACGTCTACGTCTCTCTTAACGGGTCCGACTTCGATAGTATCGCGTTACCGAAGCAGCTCGTCAAACTAAGTGAACCCGCGTCTGAGAGGCCTTTAACGAGTGTAAATGTTGACGAACGCATCGAAGAGAATGATGACGCAGTGATGAAGGAGCCTCTGCGAAAGAGCCCGCGCAAAGCCCCCGAGAGCGACAGTGCTATTGCTTTGGTCAACGAGCAGTACGTGGTTGACTGCAAGAAGGTTACAGCACTGGCACTTGATGGATGCGGATCGGGAAGACGTTCGCCAACACGGTTCGCAACTCGATCTCGGAACGAGAATTTCTTGCTGGTGCCTCAGCTCCGCGTCTATTTAACTCCAAAAGTCACACGCGTGCGGCCGACGGACGGAGTTTACACGTCGCATCTCACTATTGACGGCACCAGCTTTACGAATACAGGCGTCGCCACAGGTAGGCAAGCCCAGACATTCATTCTGTGTTCAACGTTTAGTAACTTGACTATTTCTTTATCGCTTTTCAGCACGCTTTACGTCCCAGAGTTCCGATTACGACGTCCGTACAGCAAAACTTGTCGTGGTGTCCAGTACGCGGATGGAATGTAACGTCCCCGATTTCCCGCGAGGGGTTTTGGTGAGGATTGCAGTGGCGATGAACGGCGTCGAGTATGTGCCGTGTCCTGGAGAACTGCGTGTGTTTCAGTCTCCAAGGCTTACTGAGCTGTATCCACACTGGGTTTCAGCACATACGACGCTGGAGTTGGAGTTGCGAGGCGTCAATTTAACAGCCGCTAGCACCGCTGCACCCACAGACAATAACCGGGGGCAGCAGGACAGTGCAAGTATCCAGGTATCTTTCAGCGGTGCTCGAGGCAAGAAGGTCGTCCATGGCAAATGTGAAGATGGCAAAGTGAGTTGCTCTATTCCTCGAGAAATATGGCAGACTGCAACTCATGCGAGTCGAGACAAGACGACGTCGCACTCACCTACAACGATAAACGCCCCCATTCTGGTTGATATTTGGCTAAGTGGGAAGGTACGCACCACCCGTGTATACCCAGAAGACTTGTACTGATTGTTGTTCTATGGTACAGCCCACAGGATCACCACTACCACTGCACGTGTATCGGGAGATCCCCACCGTTCATCTAGTATCGCCCATGGATGGACCGGTGTATGGAGGCTTTGCGATCGTTGTCGAGGGTCGCGGGTTCATCGACACTGGGAAAATCGTTGTTCGCTTTCAACTGTACACAGATCAACAGGATTCGACACCTCGAACCGAAGATGAAAGTCCCAGAGCACTTCAAGGTCAGGGGTCGCCGCCCAAGAGCTCAAACATTCTCGAGAAACCGCAAGGAAATAAGGCAACAGCAAAGGAGAAGATCTCTACGGAATCGGTACCATCCTACGTCGACATGGCTGCAAAGTTCGTGTCCACTGAGCGAGTTCTCTGCCCAGCTCCTGCGTTCCCCCAGGAGGGAGTGTACACTGTACTGGTGGCTCTGAACAGCGTCGAGTTTAGTCGAGTTAGTGACGGCTCTTGGTTTCTAGCGTGGCAGAATTGGCAGAAGAGGAAGCGATTGCTGTCTCACGCGCTTTTCTCTCAAACGTCTGCAGCAGGTGAAGTCGCTTCAGCTGCTGCTGCGTCTGCACCTTTGGACGAAGACGACATCGACAAGCTACGACGAAAATCAAGTTTCATGCTACCGAAGATCCGAAGCACGTTGGCTGCCTCCTCAGAGGATTCCTCGTCCTCATTCCAGGCTAAAACGAACGAGTCAACCTCGAATAACAACTTTGAGTCGGGCGATACTGAAGAAACGCTGATGAAAGATCCACGCCTGCTTCAATGGCGTCCTACTTCATGGATGGAGGCGAAAGTTAGCGGTAGAACACTATTGTCTCTCCTTGAGTACCTGTGTGGTGCTCGTGAGACGCAGCAGTTCATCTGTCGACGCCTGCGTGCAGCTTTCCGGCTTCAAAGTGCCCAATCTCGAGGTGGAACGGACTCTACGGAGACACCTGCACTCCGTTTTCACCTTTTTGTGGAGGCCCTACGTATGGTATTCCCCGACGCGCTAATGCGTGAGCTCGAGGAGTTATGGCAAGCTACTGAGCATCGACCTGACGGGACTATAACGATCAAGCAGTTGCTAAGACGACTGCTACGCAACGCACCATCAGATCAGCGTAGCAAGAGCCCAGAGCCAGGTCCAACACACTATGACCCACGATACAGCATCGTGTCTTCGCGAGAGGCGGCAGCGATCATCTTACCTCCCGTCGCCCAACCAGAATACATATCGGACCCTACGTCTACTCTCTTCATGGACTATGACGCTGCGGTTCAGGCTGTCAAGCCTCGAGCGCCTCGTCCTGTCTTTCGCAAGCGAAGGTTCAACACGTCGTGGTGTAATCCAGTCGTGGAGGGTGCGAAGGAGCCAACCCCAAGCCCACGGCCACCGTCAATAACCAACCGAACTCGACCACGTCCACATACGCGAGTCAGTGAAGACTTGGCAAGTGAAGCCACTACTGGAACTACTGCTGCAGCAGACGATACTACTGAAGCTGGTGACAAGAAGACAAGCGAGCAAGAAAAAGACAACCAGGTTGTAACGAGCAAGGAAGACGCCGTTCGAACACCTCAAAGTCCAGCTCAAGCTACTGCTGCTTCCAGCAGCAAACACGCACGGAACTCAACGCCCTCTTCGTCACCGCCTCCTCCTGTCAATACCAACACAATAATGCCCCGTCAAGCGAATCTGAGCGGTCCGAATCCTTTCTACAACGACATTGCGCCATTGTACGCCAAGTTCCTCAACTCAACAGAAGTCAAGAGGTTTTTGAAGCAGTAGCAACGATCATTTACTAGTTGCATTTAGCAGTCGGTTGCTGGTAAAGTCCGAGTGTAAGGATCCCATGGCAAGGTCTGAGGAGAGACGAAGGGGAACTTGTCACCGCAGAACTCTTCGAAGGATCGAAGCTCAATTGCGCCAATGTTGTCCACGTCGAAGTACATGAAGATGTGGATCACTTCTTTGTCGGTCAAGATGGTCGGCAGCCCGCGAACGGTGCTGTTGACATGGAGAGCAGCTCCTGTGGCTACGAACGCCGTGCGGAAGTCGTGCAGTTCGATGTATTCGCGCTCTTCCTCCTGTTGTGGCTGGTCAGCTCTGGCCTCCGATCCGTGTCTAAGCGTGTCGAGAAGACGTCGAGCAGTATCGGGATCTGCCTTCAGCAGAGTCAGCAGTCTCCTCAACGCTGAGCGTTGGTGCACACTGGCGCCAATTCTTTCGTCGTGAATGGCACCAGGCTCGGTAGCTTCTCCGTGGCGCTTGGTCGGGTCGTTGAGCTCGTTTGTGAATGTGCTGGACCGACCAAAGGCGTTTCTCCCGTCCGAGACAGTCGTGGCAAAGTTCAAGCCGACCCCCGTAGTCACTGCGTACGAGTACCTGGTGACAGTCGTGCCCTGTACTAGATCCAGTTTCATTTGGTCGATGCTGTCAGTCTGCGCCTTCGTCAAATGCTGAATAGTTGGGTCCACTTGACGAGCCAGAGAACCGTTGCGTCCTCGAGGAATCCGCTCCTTGACCAGCGCCGACGTGTCCACCGGTAAGTACGAACTCTTCGCTATCGTTGTGCGTGCTGCTTCGTGACAATCGACTTGTTGCTCCTCTCGTTCGCGTGCACGCTGCTCACTGTGAAGACGCTGGGCAGTCTCAGCTAAGTACTGGTCACGAAGAGAGCTTCGAGGTCCAGGTCCAGGCTTATCCGCCGCGTAGTCGGCGTACCGGTGGCTCGCTTGGAGTGTAGTTTCGAACGGAGGTGGCGTGAACTCGCTGGCGTGACTGTTGCAAGTGATCTTGGCAGGTGTGTCATGCAGGAGGACACGCTCGTATGTCGGCTCGATCCGAGACTCCTTTCGATCTGGATATCCACAAAGAGCAGCAGGTTAGAAACCCACAGCTGAGAGATTGAGAGCGATAAGAAAACTACTTTCCTCGTGCGAAGTAAGTTGCTGGTACCTTTCGACGGGCGTGACCGGTCTTGTCACGGAGAGCGTCTTCCTCGACCCAGTTGCCCACTAGAGCAGCCTTATTGTTCCTCACGTTGTACGTCGTTGGAAGGGACATGGCGGTGGTGATCAAGGTGGACTGCACACAGCAGTGGCTGAAACTACTTTGATCTCCATGACGTGCCAGCTAATTAGAGCAAAAGCGTCGTTAGAAAAAACGGGGTTCTCTTTAAAATAACTTTTCAAATCTGCTCGTCACCGTCATTTTCTTTATTCTACAACTTTAGCTTGATCGCTCTTCGAGCTCTGTCATGTCCACAGCGAACGTGACACGAAAGTGGCGGCTTTCGGATCCCCATGCGGAGCTGCCCATCAAGAATCACAAGTATGTGAAAAACTGCACCGAGCTGTACATGGCCAATAAGCGCATCGACAAAATTGCGAACTTCGATGCTTTCGTCAACCTCGAAGTGCTCTGGATCAATGACAACCAGGTACGTCGTCTGTGCAGAAGCTTTTTTCCGTTAAGATTCTTTCTTTGACGACCTGCCAGATTCAGGAACTTGACGGACTGGATGGTTGCTGCCGTCTCAAGCAGCTCTTCGCTCACAGCAATTGCATCCGGTACGTCAAAAGTACGCCTTGTAGACCTGCTCACTTCGATAAACAAGTCTACTTCTGGTTCATTAAACAGCTCGCTTGAAGGTTCTTCACTGCCACACTTTAAATTTCTACTGGAACTCCGGTTGTATGGCAACAAACTCAAAGACTTGCGAGGTACATTGCGAGTTCTGAGCCGGTTGTCCCACTTGCGAGACCTCGATCTATTCGGCAACCCCGTCGTGGAAGAGGAGAACTATCGCTTGCAAGTGATTCGAGCCATCCCGTCACTGGACGTTCTGGATCGACATGTCATCACGGATGACGAACGCGCGAGAGCAGCCAGGTAAACAAGAGTCCTTGTACAGGCCAAGGCTAGAAACTCATCTCGTTGCGCAATAGACTGCAACTTCGTTTTGGTGAAGATAGGGATGAACACAGCGGTACCAACCAGCATGGAGGCCAGAAGAGCAAAAAACAATCATTCAGTAGAGCTGGAGCACCATCACAGGCTTTATCGGGGACAGTTAAGATGCTCTTCAAGGAGGTCGCGGCTATCAAGAGAGAGCAACATGTATGATACGTGGCGGAACCACCACGCTGTTTGGCTCGACTGACGGTATTTCGTGTGCTAGCAGAAGGAAGCTCGGGAGGCAGCCGAACGAGAGTTGCGGGAGCCTAGTCGAGATAGTGGAACACTATCCACGACGTCAGGATTCAGGTCGCGTGTCAACAATAATAAAGAGGACAATAGCCTTTCAGGTTTGGGTGACTGGGGAGTCACAGCACTGAAGAAACATTTCCAATCTCTTGAAGAAGTGAAGAATGGGTACGTGACTCGTAAAATTGTGCAAGAATCATCCGTAATCTCACAACGTACGATACGTCCAGTGGAATCGGCCAGGGGAACCTTGCAAAGGTGTTTTAATACCTTCGTACGCGTGGCTTCACCGTTTCGAGCAATGGACTACCGCTGGAAGCTAAAGAGAGCGATTTCCAATACCTGGAGAGCATTCTCCCGACACCTGGCAAGATTCAGTGGAAGTCGTTCGTTCAGGTGAGGTTCTTGATACCCTGCGCACTCCCCGTGATGTCATGACTGCGACCACAGCTTTAACCTAAAAACTTGTTCAGCTCTTTGAGTCGAAGCAGCTTTGTTGTGAACTGCTGGGTCCTCAAGAGTTGCGACAGCAATCCGCCGCCTGCTTTGACAAATGTGCAGCCATGCAAGTACGTCAATTTCCTCTCTCAGCAACCAAGAGATCCATCTTCTCTAATCATTCTCCATTTCGATAATAGCGACGGCTGCAAGCCCTCGACGCCAGCGATCCCAAATGTGCAGTACGTTTGACACAGCGAGAGTCTTCCACCGCATCGCGATACTAATCTTGTGATAAAATTGTCCAGAAACTTGTGAAGGAGAGCTTCGCGTTATCGCAGCAAGGCTACCACCTCCAAGCTTTGGCTGATGAGGATCGCTCGTCAAGCAGATCCAAATCGTCGCGAGTGCCCAGCTCAGCTGATATCAAAGACAACGGAGAAGCGACGTCATTAGCGACTCCACAAACGCGCTTCTGCATGACGACGTTCACTCGCGAGAAAAACTCGTCTCCCCTATCGCAGTCTGCAGATTGTAGCTCCAAGTTCAGCGAACTAAAAAGCGAGAGCGAGCGCATCAGCGACGAGTTGGCCAGGAAGTATAAAATCCGACATAAGGTTCGTAATTCTGGGCTCAAACTTGATCAGCTCCAAGAGATCTGGCTCACACTCCTGGTTTATATGGCAGGACTTTTCTAAATACTTGGCCAACCAATCACCGCAGACGACGAAACTTGTGCGTCGCAACTACCAGCTCTAATACTACAAAAAAGCAAAAGTCAATCAATAGAAACATCAGTACTACCGGAGACCACCAGTGCGACCCCCTTCTATTCAATGAAGTCTTCCAAATCAGCAAAGGCATCTGCGCCGTCTTCTTCGTTCAGGAACGCGTCGATGATAGGGTGGCGACTTCGCAGGCGCTTCCGCCGCTTCTTCACGATCGGAACTACACCAAGCAGACGCGGTCGAGCCTTGGCTTTGCCTTGGCGGACGCTTCCCTGGTCTGTTGGGGAAATCTTCTCTTTAACAATCGCCACCAATATCTTTAAGCGCTCCTTGGTCTCATCCACCACTGCAGTCTGTAGAACGTAAAAACTTAGCTTTTTAGAACTAGATCATCTGATAAAGAGTGTACCTACCTCCTTCAGCCACAATTGTACGGTGCTCGGAACTTGCAGGAAGAAAATATCCATCTTGAGTAAAGTTGCAGATACCTTTAAAATCCACAAAACGTGTTGAATATCCGGTGAGTCGACACGCATAATCATCTCAAAAGTAGTAGAACGCACCTTCGCTTTCGTTCCAGGGTCTTGACTTGCATCCTTAATCCCTTCAACCCACGCTCGACTATTCAGTGCCGACGTGACCGAAGATTCATAGATCCAGATTGTGGTGTCGTTCAATAGGCCAGACTCGTCTCTTGTCCGCAGCACCCCACTTGCCTTGCCGATACGTAGACCTAATTCAATCATGTGAAGGATCTTCAGCAGCACTTTCCGGGTCCCCCACGAGAAATCTCGATCGTCGCTAATCGCCTTGTTGACTAGCTCGTGAATCCGAAGGTAACCCAGAATTTCCTGGCGATGGGGAAACGAGCAGGACTCGCTGCTGCTGGTTTTTGCAGTGATGGCACTGAGCAGTGTGGCTTGAGATTGTTCGAGAACAGCCAGGACGGCCAAGATGGCGATGCTTTGGCAAGCATGAGACTGGAGATGTGGAATGCGCTCACGGCTGAGTGAAGCTTCTCGGTTCGTTGTAGCCTCAACGGCTGCGCTGGAATCCTCAGATCGAACGGAGCCGTCGGAGTCGGAAGAGCAGCTAGCGTCGGATTCCGAGCCGGAATCCACTCGTAACCCGTACGAAGACCTGGCACTAAGGTCTTGTCGTAGGCGCTTCCGGCGTGCTTGTGTTCCATCGTTTCGCCTGCTTTTCTTGAGAGCTGACCAGCGCTGTCTATGGTTCTTGCTCGAGTTGGTTGACGGGGTTTCGTCTTCTGCTGAGCTAATGCCACAGGCGTGCATGATTCCTTCAATCTTGCTCTCCAAGACCACAAACGTCTGGATGCAAAGTGCCGGCTGAGCTGGAAGACAGATACTCATGAGCAGTCGAAGAAGTCGTGGGTTGTACACAACATTGACGCACAAGATATCGTAGGCAAGAGAAGAGAGTGCGTGGAGATCTGAACAGACCTCGCTCCCTTCCACTATCTCAGTGGCAACATCCCGAAGCCGCTTACTAAGCGATGCACACGACACACTCAGCTTCGTAAGTCCATCCAGCTGAACCCACTTCTGGACGTCACTCAAAAAGCAGCGAGATAAATGGCCAAAATTATTGACGCCAGCGTTTCCTTGACCTTCGAGCCACGGATTTTGTCCTCTCCTCGATATGTTGCACAGCACTTCACCAAGTTGCGTGTGCACCGAGTAAACACTTGAGGCCTTAATCATCACGTCCAGCACCCGTCCGATCGCACTGCAAACGTGCTCCAGCATCTCTTCTCCGCCTTTTGTCTCGAGCAGCACAAATGCTCTTGCGTTTTTGCTCGGAACGACGAGATGTCGCGCTGAAGTTGGGAATTTGGAGGAAATGGAAGCTGCATACAGCGAGAACCGAATTCTGTCGTCCCTCCCACCAATTGTGTCACTGGAGAGGTCGTCTGCGTCAGACGGGCTCGTCACTGACACAATACGATCACGAACACTTACGTAGACAGACAGCAGGATCTCGA